CAAGAGCTAAGGTCTTCGCCGCCGCCCTTCCTGTCCTCCTCCTTCGTCGTCTTCGGGAGGTGTCTCGGATCCGCATTCCGACATGGCAGATCATTACACTGTTGGTTGGATCTTTTTCTCTGGTTTGTTCGCCTTGGTTGCTGTCTACAATTTGGTTTTGCCAGGAAGAGCCGTATTGTTTCCTCCGCGGCTTCACGTCAGTGCCTGAATAGCTTAAACACCGCCGCCGGAGAATGCAGATCCGTTGACAGCAGCGGTAATGTTGATGTCATTATCGTCGGAGCTGGTGTTGCTGGCTCTGCTCTGGCACACACTCTTGGCAAGGTATTTTTGATTTACCATCCTTTTGCTTTTCCTCACGACTTGACTTTTCGCATAACAGGACGAACTGGCTTATTAGTAACTGACTTTACTGATAATGAAGTTATTGTAATTCACGTCAGTGGACATGCTTATAATTTGTGGATTTCGAACGAGGAAGAATAACTCACAATGTTATAAAGATTCATTGACGATGTTTAATAATGAAAAAACTGGGTGGTAATAAAACAAATGGAAACAAGGCATACTTTTAGTGTCTACACGAAGTTGCTGCCCTCGTACTTATGCCATACCATGCACAAAGAATAATTTCTTATTCTTATTCTTGTCCTGAATTTCCTCTTCATTTTCCCATGGTCATGCAGCAGATTCAGAAGGGATTTAGGAAATAATTTTCCTTTTCCTTCGTTGAACTTCAAGAATTTTTAACTAGGGAACTACTCAGTTGATGAACTGATTTTCGGTGAAAATATGTTGAAATGGCTTTCCAAATGAAAGATATTACGCCAGTCTCTGATAATATAGTGAACTAAGTGATTCCTACTGAACTAAAATTAATATTTCCTCCTGGTATGGGTTCCGGTGTTTGTGTTTCTGTGCACGGATATTTAATATCAAGGCAGTATGTTCTAATGTGTTTCCATACTAAAGAACCAAAACCGAGAGAAATGTTAGTCATCCACCCCGCTTCCGATAGCAGTTAAAGAACATGTTGTTTTCCGCTAAAATTTTAGACAACACGTGTAATCTTGTAGAAAGAACTAGTTTCAGTTGCAGAATGAACTTATATTTTCACACGCTTCACAATCATTTGAAGAGCTGAACAGTTTTCAGGTGAAGCATTTATTTGAGGCAATATAAGTATTACCTCTTGTCCGAATAAATATGAAAAACAAAATAGATTGAGGTCTTATATTCAGGATTGAATTAAAAGTCAAATTAGCTCTTTTATTAAGGACTAGAAGTTAGGTTTAATGCCATCTACAATCTCGCAGTTGGTCTGCTGATCAAGTTTCATATATTTGCTTGAATATTTAATATAACATATATAGCAAGGTTTCGCGGCCTTTCCCTTAAAACACTACTGTCTACTACTCTGCCAGCACATGAAGTTCTGGCTTGAAAGATGATCACCTTTCTCTCTCTCCCTTTTTTTTTTGGGGGGTGGGGGGTAAATCTTGTAAACTGATCTCGGTCTTTCTACAAATTTGATCACTCAAGGGACTTGATCTCTGCCTTGGATTAGCAATCATACATGTTCCTTTTTTTTAATCCTATTTATTTCTTATAGCTACTCTTCTTTGTGTAGTTAACCCGTGTGATTCAGAACACACAATTTAAAACTCACATATACTGATTATTTATTATGCATTGGAGGATGGACGCCGAGTACATGTTATAGAAAGAGATTTGAGTGAGCCTGTCCGAATTGTTGGGGAGTTGCTACAACCTGGGGGCTATCTCAAACTAATTGAGCTCGGGCTTGAAGGTACTATACTTGTAAAAAATTTTATTCTGTATTCAGAATTGTGGTTGGTAAATACACATAAGAAAACAAGTGCTATACCTTGAGTCGGAGTAAAGCCCCTTACCAAATGATCATGCCTTGTGTTTTGCTCAGATTGTGTTCAGGAAATTGATGCTCAGCAGGTGTTTGGTTATGCTCTTTACAAGGATGGAAAAAATACTCGACTCCCTTATCCATTAGAGAAGTTTCACTCGGATGTTTCTGGAAGAAGCTTTCACAACGGACGTTTTATTCAGAGGATGAGGGAGAAGGCTGCCTCCCTTCCCAAGTATTTATTTCAGTCTTGTAGATAATACCCATATATGACTTAAAGTTTTTGTTTGCGTATTGACAGTCCTCACTATAGCCAAATCCGAGCATATGTCGATTTGGGCAGACAAAGTAATTTGATTCAAAATTGTGCTTCTGTCAAACTGATTTCTTTGATGTCTCATAGCATACACAGATAGCCTGTGGGGCTCTACAATACAATTTTGATACGATGTTTGTAGTTTTCTAATACCATTTTTTGTTCTTTTGAACCAACAGATTTCACGTTGTTTTTAATATGTGCGACTTATTATCTGTAGAGTACATCTGACGGAAGGAACAGTTACTTCCCTACTTGAAGAGAATGGGACAATTAAAGGTGTGCATTATAAGACGAAAGATGGCCAAGTATTTTCAGCTTATGCTCCTCTCACCATTGTTTGTGATGGGTGCTTTTCAAACTTGCGCCGTTCTCTTTGTAATCCTAAGTTGAGAATGCTCTTTCCCCTCAAATGTGTGATCAAGTTTCCTCGGTTGCATTGTTCAACTTCTTTCTCTGATGACATCTAAATTTTAAGTTAATCTGTCGCTATCATTCTTTCAGTGCTTGCGGAGAACTACTATGTTTAACAATTTTATTTTAATAATTACAAAATCACTAAAAGTTATATGGTATTCTTTTTCCAGGTGGACGTTCCCTCTTGTTTTGTTGGTTTGATATTGGAAAACTGCGAACTTCCATATGCAAACCATGGCCATGTTATACTAGCAGATCCTTCACCAATTTTGTTCTATCCTATAAGTAGCACGGAGATTCGCTGTCTGGTTGATGTACCTGGTCAGAAGGTTCCTTCAATTTTAAATGGTGAAATGACCAAGTATTTGAAGACAGTGGTAGCTCCACAGGTATCTCTGCAAGCTAGCAGTTTTTTAACCTTTCCAGTGGAGCTGCCTTTATCCCATTGATAATAGAATTTTTCTTCAAATTCAGCTGTTGGTGTCTCAGTTCATAATCAGGTGGCAAACTTTTGCAGGTCCCCTCTGAGCTTTATGATGCCTTCATATCTGCCGTGGACAAAGGCGACCTGAGGACAATGCCAAATAGAAGCATGCCGGCAGCCCCTTATCCTACTCCTGGAGCCCTTCTGATGGGAGATGCATTCAACATGCGCCATCCTCTTACCGGGGGAGGAATGACTGTGGCACTGTCTGACATAGTAGTGCTCCGGAATCTTCTCAAGCCTTTGCGCGATCTAAATGATGCATCCACGCTTTGTAAATACCTGGAGTCCTTCTATACCCTGCGGAAGGTAAAAGCATTCCAGCCTTTAATATCGCTCAGATGTAATTGTCCTAAGTAGGAAAGGTGATTAAAGCGTCCTCATGATTTGAAATGGCAGCCAGTGGCATCCACGATAAATACGTTGGCGGGAGCCCTATACAAGGTTTTTAGTGCATCACCTGACAAGGCGAGGAGTGAAATGCGCCAAGCTTGCTTTGATTATCTAAGTCTCGGAGGTGTATTCTCCGAAGGACCAATTTCTTTGCTATCTGGATTGAACCCCCGCCCTTTAAGCTTGGTTCTCCATTTCTTTGCTGTTGCAATATACGGTGTTGGCCGTTTGTTGATTCCATTTCCATCGCCCAATCGGGTTTGGATAGGAGCACGATTGATATCCGTAAGCCAATGAACCCAGTTTCAGTGGAATGAATGGAACATGATTGCTTTTTGGTGGCTCTGATTTTTTTTTTTTGGAGTTTTGCAGAGTGCTTCAGGAATAATCTTCCCCATAATCAAGGCAGAAGGAGTTCGCCAGATGTTCTTCCCTGCGACCGTCCCAGCTTATTACAGGGCACATCCGCCTAAACAGGAGTGAACATGGGCGAAGCATATTTGTCAGTCAGGTTCCTCTCAAGTTGCGTCTTTTCAGTGTCCCGCCTCAAAGGCTTGAGTAATCCTTCTGCATTCATAACTGACTTTCTTCTTATGTGCATACATAGCTTCTTCCCCGCAAACTAAACTATGCACACTTTGTCTAGCCTCCATTTCACAAACATCTTTACGGTAAGGATTAGCTCACGACTTTTCACCCAAAAAAAAAAAAAACAAGGATTAGCTCACGACGCGTCGTTTAGCATTTAACACCGAACTACCGGCTGCGTAATCAAACTTTTTTTCCGTCCCACGTGGGGCTTATAGTAACATAATGCTAATCACAGTCAGTCCATATTCAAAATATTACGAGGAATTTGGTACTTTCAGAGATAATGGCTAAACGATCATCTTTACTTTTACTTCTATTCATAAAAATAAATATTAAAAATATAGAAATAAAATAATATTAAAACTTTAGAATACAAGACAAATATGTGAAGAGAATTTTGTCTTAACTTATATAAACTGTATTTATAAACAAACAATTCATGTATGATTTTAATATGGATTCATTCCATCTTGGTTTTTCTGGTAACAATGAATCAAAGAATTGATCTTTAAACTGGACGAGCAAATTATCTCCATCATTTATTTGAAGATAGATATCGACATTTCCATCATAAGATTATTAAACACTGATGCGCGTTCAGCACGCAACTGGTACATAGTACCAAGACTCTCTACACACACTTTCCACAGGCATCAATACCTATGTCTCTTCAACAATTGGATGGAAGCATAACCATGAATTCAATTTGTATGTTCGATCGCGAAAATTAGCTTTCTGTACGATTGCTGTTATATTGTACCATTATGGAAAAAAATCATACAAAATTTTATGGAAAAAATTCAAACATTATTATTAAATTCTAAGAATGTTACAAAAACATTATCTTCATTAAAATCTAATAAATTTTTTCTTAAAACTTCATAATGCCTCATAAAATTTTATAGCAACCCCAATCTTTCAAAATAATTATTTTATAATATTTTTACTATTATTATTTTTTGCTTTGAGTAAAATATATAATTTTCTCCGAGGCCCAACTCAGCTGTCCCGTTGCCAAACCCAACAGAGCAAGGGTCTTTCAGTATGTAGCGAGGTTGCCGCTTAGCTGGCGCCGCCTCCCATCATCCCAACCCCTCTGGTCCTCCTCCTGCCGCTGCTGCAATGATTCATTATCGGATCTTCTTCCTACTGAAGTATTAAAAGCATTTGAATTACTGATATTGTTTATACAAGGTAAAACTTGACATCGCATTTAGTTTTCAGGACAATACTATTTATATGTATTTCTTTTTTGCTAATTAAATATTAAAATAGATACAGTAAAAACTAAGCAGTTCTTATTCAGAACGAAACACCTCACCAGAAAACATTGTACATCCAATGAATCAAGGCATTATAAATGAATAATGCATAAACTGGTTAAAAAAAGATGGCCTAAGCTATGCCGACCAAATCGTTCATTGTATGCCCCCCTTGAAATAAAAATGAGACCACATATGAGTGGCCTTGAACGTCAGGGGTGCATTGTTAATTATGCATTTCTCTTTTACATGCATAATCTGACTCATCACTAGAGAGCAACCTCATAGCAGAACATTCTGTATATCATTCTCATACAATTCTGAATGCAGCCGAATCAAAATTAAGGTCGTCAATAATTTTACAAAGACATGAACTGTTTATATTCCGGAATACCTTGTCCAAATAGGTTCCAAAATTCTGAGGCAGAAGCTGGGGAAGGATTGGGCAATTGCTACATCTGGTTCTCTCTTTCCTTCTTTATGGTTTCATAAGAATTCACCACCTCTTTGAATTTTGCCTCTGCAGCCTCTGCAAACTCACAGGTCTCCAGATGAGTAACAAAGAAATGAAAGCGGGTCACAAAATATCACCAAAAATGATTCACCAAAAAAAAAAAAAAACTAAAAGTGGCCAATCAAGATTTACCTCTATTATCCTGGTTCTGATCAGGATGATACTCCTTTGCCTTGGTCCTAAATGCTGTCTGCAAAGATGAAAGCAAACCCTATTGATTACGCTAACTCAGGTAATACAGCCATGCCATTCCCAAGATGAGCAAAAAATATGTATAAAAAAACTTTTTATCAGGATGAATAAATGATATCTGAAGGAGAACCACTATCGTTAATATCACATCAGGGTTCATGTCTCAAAAATACCATGTTTGAACCAAAAAAATATATGGAGGTGACAACGTCCAGGGCAGCTGCTCGATTATCACTTGCCTTGGGCGCAGATGCGATGATGTTAAAACCAATAGCTCAAGAATGATGCTCAAATTAATATTTAATAAAGCTTGAGTACCAACTATATATATACTTCAGAAAATTGCATAATATAGTACAGTATCACAATGAAACTTCCTATTTATCCAGAAGAATGCAATGGAAATTGTTATAGGTGTTGTAACACTAGCTGTGACATGCAAGGGAAGAAATATTACCTTAATCTCTGCATCTGTATATGGTGTTGTTCTAAACCTGTTGTCCAACAAAACATGGCAAGCAAGGAGTTAATAATAATGCTAATGAATGCTGCACAAACACACTAAATTCTTATCTATATGAATAGCAGTTCAAGTGTTTATATAACTCCAGCTCGAAGTCAAAACTCCGCAAATCACTAATAGTCTTACCACAATTAACCTACCCACATCACATACTGGTTTGTGGCTTTTTTAATTGAAAAAAACTCCAATCGCCTGGGAGAAGCACTGCTTTCAATGAGATTTGATATTTGTTTGCTCCAGAAGAATCAGAGCATTCTTCCCTGACTATATGGATTTGTAGTTATTGGACAAAGTCCTTTGACTCCACAACTTTCATTTGTTTTCCAAGACGTGGATTTTACTTTCTATGGTTATACAAGTAAATACCTATACGGTGATATAGTCTATCCCGCTGAATCACACCTCAAGCAAGTTCATAGCTACTACTCAGAAGGTGAAGATTGAGAACAGAGTTTTCAACTTTTGCCATTGCCACTATACAATATTAACAACCTTCCATCCCAAACAAGTGTGTCGTTTGAACATAGCATTTTAGTTATTAGCCAATTATGTTCTGGACTTCGGGGGTCAATACAATAATTAGACTTGTAATTTATCCTGACGCCAACATGCTTCGAGTACTTTAAGATTGAAATTAAGGAGTGAGAGAAGGCAAAACATCTTGATCAAAATATCGAGATGAATAAATCATTAAGAAAATGCATCAATTCCAATGTATAAACTGGGTTTAGACATATGCTGCCTCCACTGGAGCATCTATAATAAGGAATAACAAAAGCACAAAAATGTGGTCTATTTGCAGAGTTCTACTTTCAAAGGAGATGTATCATACTGTTCAGTAAAGTCCATAACAAAGTCACAGAAGTTTCTATTTCTCACATGATTTTTTTTTTTTTTTTTTTTGGGTGTCAACTCCAATCAGGATATCTGACGACAACTGTTGTCTCAGGGAGGAGTCTGATATCATTGCCGCAATATAATGCAATAGAAATTCACAACATGGGCAACTAGGATCTAAACTATATTCATAAAAGTACCTGTCAAGACCCAAAACTGAGTAGTGATGCGATAATGAATAGCTTCCAGTTTCCCTTGGAGCTTCTCGATAATTGGTCCTCCAATCTCTATAGGATGCGTCAGTCTTCCAATACCAATCATCTCTTTGGAAATGTTGACGATATCCACCGTTGTGATCATTTTGGCTCCAGTTCTCATAGCTTCTTTTGTACTTATTCCTTTCCCTGTTAAACACACTTTGCATACGCCTTATACGTTCCTGCAAAGAGCAGAAGGAGAAGGAGAAATACCAAGGTTTAAGCTAAAACATCAAGGATAACCAACCAACCAAATTTCTTGACCAGCTGAACGTTGCGTTTCTCAGCAGCTAGAGTCAAATAATAAATTTTACAGTCAAATTCATTACTTGGAAAAAGAAATTTGGTTCACCCTTTCAAAACATCACAGAAGAGTTTCTATTTCAAACTCAAACTATACAACGCCAAGTTCATAGACTAATTGAAAGCATACAACTAGAGGGACCAAACTCACCACTCTCGCCATTTCCTCTTCATACTCTTCTTGGAGCCGCTTATTGTACCTTTTCCATGCTTCTTCCTGAAAAGAAGATCGAAAGGAGCCCGCCCCTCCTTTCCATGGTGATTGCGATCTGGACATCTACAAAGTTCAACGGAATGCACGATCAGTTTCAATGACGAATCATGTATGGTTAATGCAAATATATGAAGCTTCAGCGATATTGAGCTCTTCATTAGCTACTTATTCCCATTCACTCGGATAGACAATGGCAAGAAGTTAATATCTATGTAATCAAATACAATCGGACAAGCATTTTGCTAAAATATTATGTCTACCTGTGCATAGAACCAATCAACAGTCCTCCGCAGCTGACTAACCTGCCGAATTACTTCAAGCATTAAATAACAACGCCTAATTTAAACGCTCCGCAAGAGAACAATCCATTACCCGCAATAAGTTATAATAGCATGCGATGAACTGCGAGTTTTCATAGCCAACCGGGGCCTTAAGAGGTGCACTTGTTTCGAATAATTCTCACAAAAAGGATAAAAATTTAAGTCTTCTGTTTTGCCGTTTAGACAAATTTAGACTACGAAATTATACCCCCGCCATAGAAAGGCAATTCAATCAAGAATAGCTAGTAGCTACGAATACCAAACCACCTAGGAACATCGCCACTAATAGGGCTTGGTTTAACTGAACACTACAGAGCTGATTCAAGAAAAGAAAAGCGAAGAACTCACGGCGAAGGTTGTGGCAGTGGCACCTATCAAGCCGAAGAGAAAAATACCCCAAAGCTTCGCATCATGCTCGGGCTCCCCCTGATAGGGCGAGTTTGACGAGGGCCATGGATTATCCCGTTTTCGATCATCAGCGTCATCCTTCATTATCCCCTTCTTAACCTAACGCTGGTATTGCTTTCTTCAATTCCGCAATCCAAAACACAAGCCACGCTTTTATATTACAATTCCTTATCTCGCTTTGATTTTTATGATCTTTTAACCAATTTCTAGATTTCTAGATTACAAACTTCTTTTTACTCTCCGTGGCCCCGTGAAAATCAGAACTCTTTCTTCCCTCCGGCCATCGGAATTCGGAGACGAAAAGGCGGTGACTCGCATTTAGTTTGGGCTGGGACCATCTTGGGCCAACCTAATGGGCCTGGCCTGAATGATAGAGAGCCCATACCTTCCTCAAATCAGCGGTTGAACACCGTTGGATTTTCTAACCGACACTTGAGATCCTAAGGAGTAGGAAGTCTTTCCTCCATAATCACAATTTGCATCCAAGTTGTCTCATTCCATGTTCTAGTTGGCAAAGCATATAGTAACAGGAGACATTTCCGCGAGCCTATCCCTGTGTTTCTGTCTTTCGTCAAAAAGTTTCTGAGGAAACGGGAAATTCAGATCTAGCCCTTGATAGCCTGTCATAATGCAGTCCCTTTAGCAATACTCACTGGTAATTCCCATCTCGTTCTTAGCTGGATAGCATTTATGGATCCGTGTCTAGAATAGGTGAAATTCTACATAATTATTTGCTTCCCATAGTGGGTAATAAACGATACATTTTTGCCATCTTTATATAGCTGTCGCACATTCAATTTGGTTTCTTGTGTGCAGCTTTAATGGCATTGTGAGCCTGATCCGCGTAAATTACAAATATCTGTTTGCTATATTGCCTACGATGAAGCTAATGCTGCCGCCTTCCTGATCTCATCCTAGAATTCTTTTAATGATATTGCAATAGTTTGATTTGTTTTTCCGCCCAGTATCTTGCAGATAACTGCATAGCATCTTTGTTGTCATAAGCAATTGAAGTGGAAATTATGTCGAGGAGACCGGTATTACCATCTCGACGATTTGGGGACAGCGGTGGTGGATTGTTTTCCACTTCGAAATCGCGGTCCTCGCCCATTTTGTCTGTTGGGCTTATACTCGTGGTAAGAGCAAATTCAGGAATTGATTTTATTCACGTTATAGATATTTCATGGAGCTCTCTGTGTCGCTTTATTTGATATGGCCTCTTGGGGGAGATTTTAATTACTTTTAGTTCCTCAACTTTTTAGGGGGGCTTGCTTCTCATTGCCTATCATTACAGAAGTTCAGGTATGCCTCCTCTTGTTACTCCAATTCATTAAACAGTTTTCCTTTTGTTTTTAGGATGAACTTATGTCTTTTACGGTGATCCATTTCATATCAGTTGGAATTTTGTGGCTTTCACCTTTGTCCCTGAACGGGTTCATGGATGATGTTAAGTCGCATATCGTAATTTACTTTAGTAGTTAATCACAAGACTTGCCTCAGAATTTTATATGCATCTGTAGTGCCGTCATTAAACCAAATTTTCTAATTACTGCCCTATCATTTGTGAATAGGTGGATTTGGCAGCCAATTAGAATCTGCCAGCAGGGTTGAAGGTAATCTAAATTTTCTCGCTCTTATGTTTTTTATGATTTTGGCCTACTAACTATAAAGATTAAGGTGCTCTCTTGTTTGGGAATTTCAATACTATGCAATTTTCTTGAGCATGACTGAATCTCTTAGATTCAGTCTGTTATATGTGTTTGCCCTTTTGGTTTTGTACCTAGGTTTTCAGATTATTGAGTTACCTTGTCTACTTAAATTTCTCGTTTAAAATTAGTTGCACCATCCACGTATCGATGTGATGATGTGATCAATGTCATTGGGTTTTAAGAAGGTTGTTGGTAATCGCCTAATGTAGGTCAGTGTTTGAAGTGGCTTACAGATTTCAATGTCTTAGTTCAGCACAGAAAAGTCATGACTTCTTTGGCCATGTTCTCTATGGTCAAATTTTTGCTCCTTTGAAGTTTGAATAACACTGAGAACTTGACCAATTAGGCATGTGCCTACTGGATATATTGTAATTGTATGGACCTCCTCTATGCAGGTGATTATTTGTGCACATCAGAGGTCCAACGAACAATTCCCATCTTGCAGAAAGCATATGGTGATGGAATGCATAAAGTTTTGCATGTTGGTCCCGACACTTGTTACGTGGTCTCTAAATTGCTAAGGGAGGAGGAAACTGAAGCCTGGGGAATTGAACCCTACGATATAGAGGATGCTGACAGTAACTGCAAAGCACTGATCCGCAGAGGCTTTGTGCGTGTGGCTGATATCAAGTTTCCTCTTCCATACAGGCCAAAGTCTTTTTCTCTTGTAATTGTTTCGGATACCCTAGATTACTTATCTCCAAGATACCTCAACAAAACCCTACCAGATCTGACAAGGGTTTCGTCCGACGGCATAGTGATATTTACTGGTAAGAGCATTATATGAAAATGTCTGAACTGGAGTTCATTGCTTTGTTCGCTAGTTTTCTTTTCTTTTCTTCCCTAAAGGAGACACCTCTAATCTAAACTTCGCTTCAACTCAATTGATGTGGTCTATTACAACCGAAATGAGTGAACGAAAAGTAGGAAATGCTTTCTAAGACATCCGGTGCTTCACAAGCTGTGGGAATTTCGTTCTTTAGAATATTAAATCATATTTGCATCCATTGTAGTATGTGTAAACATAACACCTGATACCTTTTATCTGGCTTTAGGTATTCATTCCTATCTTTGGCGGTGAATTTGATATGGAACTAGAAGTTTGGCTGCGGCTGTTTGAACTGGTAGAAGAATAACATAAATATCAATATAAAATATAAAAAATATAGAGCCGTAATATGTTTTAAGTCATAGATAATGCGACTTATTCTGTGCGGATGTTCAGGACCCAATTTGATTTTGATAGAGACCAAACTTTCTTTCCATCTTTTGACGGATACTACATGATACTTGTAATTGTAGGACTTCCAGGTAATCAGAAGGCTAAGGTTGCAGATGTTTCCAAATTCGGCAGAGCGGTGAGTGGGGCTTCATAAAGATATAGAACTGTTTGTTCACGTTTGTGTGATTGAATGCTTTATTGCAATTTCTTAGATTAATAGATAGTCCTTCCCTTTTTTTGGGGGAAAAATAATAAACGAAAGAGAGTGATGAAATTGCAGAGACGGGGGATGTAGATGAATTTCCCCCATATCCTCTCTCTCTCTCTCTCTATTAAGAAGTGAACTAGTGAACAAACTAACGGGACTTGGCTTTGTTCAGGCTAAGAGAAGAAGTTCGACCTGGTGGTCTCGGTTTTTCCAACAGACTAATTTGGAGGAGAATGAGGCTGCTTCGAAGAAGTTTGAGCAAGCTGCTGCTACGAGTTCGTTTGTTCCCAGATGTCAAATATTCCACCTGAAGCCTCTCAATTGACCCCTGCGATGTTTTCTTTAGGATCGTTGTAGCTCCTAATAGCTGCTTAGCTTCACTTTCTACGATGGAGGTAATTTGATTCTTTTGAGCATCACGGTGCCTCATTTTTTGTTGGATTGTAATAGATTTTTATATTCTTTGTAATTTCAATTTTGCTTCATATTAAATTATAATAAAACGAAGTTTTTCCTCTCTTCCTTAAATTTCTTTCAGGTAAAGCCATAAATTGCATGAGTGATTTATGTAAATTTTTGGACCCAAAAAACAATGATTTATGTAAATTTACGCGATTTATGAATCCTTTCAAGGCACACAGATTTTCGCTTCATCCGTTATATTTCGCGTCTGAGTAAATATTATTGTGAGGTAATATAAAATTCAGGGTTAAGGTGCATCTAACATTTTGAAATATTTTTTTAGACGCATCCAATATTTCAAAATATTTTTTTCAAGTACATCTAGCACTTCAAAATATTTTGTAGTGTATATAACACCTCAAAAAAAATACTTTGAAATGCTGGATGCACCAAAAAATATTTCACAGTGCTAGACGCACTTAAAAAAAATATTTCAGAATACTGAATATACTAAAAAATATTTTGGATGCTGATAAAAAAATACTATGGGCTGCCAGATACATTTTAACCCTAAAATTTATAGCAACATAATGTTATCTGCAAATTACAAAACATACAAGCGGTATTTAGTCTTTGAAACTTTATATCATATTTAAAATTCACCAGGTTGTATTTGACGATTCAAATACTACTGCCGGTCCTAATTATAAGAGTCAGTTGACTAATTTGAGGAAATTAAGAAAAGAAGTTAAGTTAGTTATTTGTCATAAATAGGTGTTGTCTTTCTTAAAATATCCTTGCTAATCAAGTGTATTGGTTATAACTATCATTGTTAGAAGGACTATCTTGGAAAAAAATACACAAATATTAGAAACAAAATGGATTGAGAGTCTTATATTTAGGATTAAAATAAAAGTCAAACAAATTCTATATTAAAGACGGAGGTAGTAATAATATGATGTAGGAGGAGGTAAAGGACGACAATAATAATTATTTTTCCTGAGAAAGTTTTCTTCGGCCAACATTTAACAGGGGATCGGTAAAATAAAAAGTTAGTATAAAGCATTACAATGTTGTGGGAATCTTAATAATTTTTCACGAATTGTAATTGGAATTCTACTATGCATCCCCTTACTTTCAAAACAACTGATATTTATCTTTTTGCAAGAAGATGACAATTGTTGTTTTTCTTCCAGTGATGTCAAAATCAATATGGACGCAAAATGCCAAGAGCCAGAACCTATCCATGTAAAATCAGTCTTTTTTTCTCGGAGCAATTCGTTTTCTATTGTAGCAAGATCCCCTTGCGTCACGAACTCTTTCCGGGACGTAAAAATAGCTATAGGGAGAAAGAGAGAACGGAAGGGAAAATCATAAGAAACGCTGGTCTCTTTGTTTTGGCCGACATAAGAAACAGTGGTCTGAACAGTAAAAAATGCTAGATGCAAGTTGTAGCCTTCTTTTTCTTAATGCTCATATTCCTCCATGTGGTCTCAACAGAATGAACACAAGATGAAGCAATCAGAAACGAAGCTTTAAGGTTTGACAGCAGTTAGAAAAACTCATGTCATGTTTGGTAAGACTCCCTTATCAATTCTGATATCACTTAAGTGTCATTTTTTGGGAGATTATTCAATACCCGTATCATTTTTTGGGAGATTATTCAATGCCCCCTTCTCGTGTTACTGCAATTTTAATCGTGAAAATGAAAATTCTCTAACCGAAATGCCCTTGTAAAATTAGTATGCCTTCTTCATTTTCATCGCCCTTCCTCTCCAATCTCCACAGGCCCTCTCATTCGTCTTCGATCACTACCTTCTTCGAGTGTTGTGGAACGAGTTTCCATTATGTTTAAACTGCAGTTTATCAGTAATTATCACTCTGCCTCCGATGTATCTCAGAGTTAGGTCGCTTACACTTTGGCAATTTTGGTTAAATTAAAAACTACTCCTCCTATCTTTAATATAGGATCTGATTGTTGAATTGATTTTGATTCTAAATATAAAACATATTTTTTATATTTATCAATTTTTCTTAAATTATCTCTGTAGAGACTCTGCCAACCATTATCAAGTAGAAGAGAAAGGGAGGATATCAAGAAAGATGATTATGATGTTTTAGGAAAAACATATTATATTTTTTACAATTAACTAACTTACTTAACTTCTTTAATATAATTAAATTAATTAAATAAGCCTTATATTAACAACAGAAGGAGTATTAAATTTAGCGATACGAGGTCCAACTTGCACATGAACGATGGAGTGCCAGCAGAAAATGGAAGTCCGCGATATTTGGGAGTGCCAGCAGAAACAAATCATGAAATGACTTGGCAATATTGTCCACGGAACAGTTTAGGCTCTCTTCAGTTCACCCCTACTCGGAGAATATAAAATAAAATAATTTTTTAACTAATTAATTAAAATTTTAAATCTAGGCGATGAAGAAAATTTTTTAGTATTATTCTGGTAAGAATTCGTTTTCTTCATCGCGGTGATGCTGCGTATCAGTAAAGCTTCATATTCGTACCATATTATTGCCCGTTTTTGGGCGGTTCCTTTCTGCGCCGTGAATTTCGTATTCCTTCGCTGTCCGCCACGTGGACGCCAATTTTTCCCCCCCTCATATATTCCATCCATAATTAATGCGGGTTCGTTAATATGTTTCTCATAAATTATTAATTTCCAATAATTATATGGCTCCCGCTATTTCTTCCCATTCCTTTCAACTGTAATGATGTGACGACGGAATAAAAAAAATGGGGCCTCTCAGGGAAATAATATCTCTTTCCCGCTTTTAACTGATTGCGGGTTGGCGGTGCCGGTGCCGGTGCAAGAGGATATTGCATTGCACCACTACTTAATTGCTGCGATTCCGTGTATTCTCGGCGCAGTTTATAGAGGAAAACCCACACACATTCGCACAGGATTTCAATTCTGTTCGCTGCCTTCTAATCAATCTCCCGCGTGCCTATCAAGCTTAAGCAACGCGCGGCGATGGCGTACAAGTTTTGAGCCTACTCTGGCCCCTTCTTCTTCCACATTTTCCTATTTATACAAGGCTGCTTTTGCTTATTGATCTCTACCGAGTTTGGGTCGTCTGGATATTTACTCTACACCGGCAGATTATTCTTTCGTGCCCAGGTGCTGCTGCAATTTCCTTTTCTTCTTCCTGTTCCTTCCTTCCTTTCTTTTTTGTCACGTTAAACATCATTGTTCATTTGACAATCCCGCAATTTTCTTTTTCCGACTTGTCATTTTTTTCACGTGATACTGTCTGGATTTGGTTTGTTGCGCTTACATTCGCGTTGTCGTTTATCGAGATTTTCTATTATGTTGTACTTGTTCTATTAATTAGCTGTTTTATTTATGGTATCCCTTAGAATTCCAAAGCAAGTTATTGTCGCACACCATTTTTTTAAGGCTTCACTGTTTTTTGTTATCTGTACGCAGATTTGTGTGTCTATTGCTCTAGCTACGCAAACATATGTTGGGTGAGAGGAAAAAAGCTTGTCCTTCAGCTGTTGTTTGAATGGTCAGTGTTAAAACTTCCCAGCACGTACCTTCTTTATGTGGACAAACCTTTAATACTCATATTTATTATAAACAATCCGAGCACTGTTTAAGATTGTTTACCTCATTTTCACAACAAACCTATGTTATCACTGGACGTGCGTTTTCAGGATCAGTAGACGTTTAATTTCATTTAATACACTTTTAATCTCAATGTAATCATCTATTAGATTAGAAATTTCATATTCATTCATTCATATTATATGGATAATGCTCATAAAATTTCACATATTATATTAGTGACTGCTCAATAACCATTTTATATTTGGTTTGATGTGTATGATCAATACGATAAACTCTTCATCTAATAGTTGGAAATTACGTTTTGCAAGTTATTCGATGGAGCACGTGTCTCTGGTCTTACATCAGTCTCTGTGACCATAACTATTAAAACCTTTTTTTTATTTGCACAGGTGCTTGCTGATTCAAGGTTAGGATCACACAGCGTATCCTGGAAGTCTGATTTACCCCTATTACGGATAACATAAATTTTTCGTGCTTGTGCCTTGAATTTCTCTGAAGAAAGCCATTTTGGGGACGTCGGTTGAGCTGTATATATACACTTCAGGTGATGACCATTGTTTGGATGTCATATGTCATTCTTTCTGGGTAAAGAGATGTGTCAAGGTTGCCAATATAGTGGAGAAAGATGAAACTCGTTGCTCTTTTTACTTTGCTGGAATAATATTGGCGTCTGTGCAGTGCTTCTTTCACTT